AGGATGGCAATACTCGTGTTTGGTCTACCGAGGCACTTCAGGCTTTTGAATTTCTTAAAACTACGTTCGCCTCTGCACCTATTTTACAGCATCCTGTCCCCTCACTGCCCTATATTCTTGAAGTTGATGCTTCGGATATTGGGGTAGGTGCTGTCTTATCCCAAAGAGAGTCGCCTGAAAAGCCATTGCATCCATGCGGCTTCTTTTCTAAACAAATGTCCAAAGCAGAGAAAAATTATGATGTGGGTAATCGCGAACTCCTTGCTATTATTTTAGCACTTAAAGAGTGGAGACATTTGTTAGAAGGAACTAAGGATCCTATCCTCATTTTTACGGATCACAAGAACCTATCCTACCTTAGCGAAGCCAAAAGATTGTCTTCCAGGCAGGCTAGGTGGTCACTATTTTTGTCCCGTTTCAATTTTATTATCACCTATAGGCCAGGTGATCGCAACACTAAAGCAGACGCTCTGTCCAGACAGTTCGAAACTACTGACAAACAGGAGATTGATGTTACTCCTGTCATTCCCCCAGACAGGATAATAGCTACTACTATTTTGTCTATTTCCTCGTCCCTCTTGCAGGCCATACAAGCGAAACAAAGCATGGCACCTAGCGAGAGGCCTAATGATAAACTGTTCGTTGATGTTCCTGAGAGACGGGATATTATGTCATTATATCATGATACTAAGACCGCTGGACATCCTGGTATTTCCAAAACGGTGTCAGCTGTTTCTCGGTATTTTTGGTGGGATTCCTTACGAAAGGATGTCACTGACTATATAAGTGCTTGTACTACTTGTGCCTGTATGAAATCCTCCCGTAGAGTTCCTTGTGGGCTGTTGCATCCGTTACCCGTTCCCGAGAGACCTTGGTCTAACCTGTCCATGGATTTTATTGTTGAATTACCCCCTTCAAATGGTAACACAGTAATCCTGATGATAGTGGATCGGTTCTCCAAAATGGCTCACTTCGTGTCTCTTCACAAGTTGCCCACATCCAAGGAACTGGCTCATATCTTCGCTAGAGAAGTATTTCGATTACATGGGATTCCCGTATCTATTGTATCCGATAGGGGTAGCCAATTTATTTCCAGGTTCTGGAGGGCCTTTTGTTCAGAAATGGGTATTTCTCTCTCATTTTCTTCCGCTTATCATCCCCAGTCTAATGGGGCTGCTGAACGTGCCAACCAGTCTCTGGAGCAATACCTCCGTTGTTTTGTGTCTCACCATCAGGACAATTGGTCTGACCTGCTTCCTTGGGCTGAATTTGCTCGGAATAACGCCACTCATGATTCTTCCGGCAAGACCCCTTTTTACGTTGTCTATGGCCAGCATCCCGTTGTTCTTCCGGCTGCATTCTCCTCACAGGGCATGCCAGTTCTGGATGAGCATTTGGCTGGTTTGCGTAATACTTGGGAGCAGGTTCAGCGTTCTTTGGTGGACTCTGCTACTCGCCAGAAGGCTCAGGCTGACAAGCATCGCAGAGCAGCTCCGTCCTATGTTGTGGGGGACAGGGTTTTGCTTTCCACGCTGAATATTCGTCTCCGGGTGCCTTCTATGAAATTGGCTCCCCGCTTCATTGGACCTTATCGTATTATACATAAGGTTAATCCTGTTTCTTATGCCTTAGGCCTGCCTAAGAATCTACGTATTCCTAATGTTTTTCACACCTCATTGTTGAAACCTTTCGTACGCAACCGCTATACCCGGCATACTCCTCCTCCCCCTCCTATCTCGGTGGAGGGTCATGAGGAGTTTGAAGTGTCTGCTGTTCTTGACTCTCGTTTCCTTAGGGGTCGACTTCAGTACTTGGTACATTGGAAGGGTTATGGGCCTGAGGAGCACAGTTGGATTTCGGCTGATGCTGTCCATGCTCCCCGTCTTGTGCGCTCTTTCCATTCTCGTTTTCCTGCCAGGCCTGGTCCTACCCGCCCGGGGGGCGTGTCCTCAGGGGGGGGTACTGTAGCGTTACTTACCTTAACCGGGGGCCGGTCGCGGTCCTCTCTTCAAGCCGCGCGCGGTCCTGCGGCTGCACGAGCCGCGCGCGGCTCATCCGACTGCTTCAGATGGAAGGCGGGCAGTGACCGCGTGAAGCGGTCACGTGTCCCGCCTGAAACTAAGAGCGCGCCGCGAGTCTCGGGCGCGCTCTTAAAGAGACAGTGGGAGCCTAATTGCCAAAAGGCTCCCATTGGCTCCTGTCATACCACACTCCCTATACAATTACCTATAGGGGGTGTGGAAGTGACAGGAGCCAATCACTTTGGTTTAAAAGCTATTTAACTTACCTTTTTCCCTTAGCTCGTTGCCCTATCGTAGTTTCTGTTTCAGTTCTCTTTAGCGCTTGTGGTGTTCAGTTGTGTTTTCTCGTATTGACTTTGGTTTCGTATTCTGACTTCGTTTTCGCTTTATCCTTATCTGTACTGTTTGCCGGCTTGCTGTTTTCCGTGTACCAGACCCCGGCTTGTCCTAGTTTACGCTGTCTCTCTGTGCCCTTGACCTCGGTTTGTTCCTGGCTCTGTCTCCTCTCATATACGTCGAGTCCGGCCATTCTAAGGTCCGGTAGACGTATCTCTCCTCTGTATTTGCCTCTGTTTAGCTGGATCCTGCGTGTAGGGGTATATTCTCGTTACAACCTGGCACTGGCAGGTGAAGTTGCCATTTTTTGGCCCTTCTTTGCAGTGATGTCAGCAATGTGCATGGGGCGGAGCTTGCATGAGGAGGCAGAGCTTTCATTAAGGAGGCGTGGCTTGCGTGCGGAGGCGGGGCATGCGGCCGAAATTAAGGTAAATAGTGCATGGAGCCTATAAGCTCTCCCTCCTCCCTCATTACTCCCCTCGGACTGACACAGGCTGTCACAGTCCGAGGGGAAAATACTTTAAAAAAACCCTTAACCTAATGATTTGGGCTGTCTGCCCAGCCCCAGATTACTGCGGCCCATCGGGAAATTTCCTGGTATCCTGGTGGGCCAGTCCAGCCCTGTATAGCACTAGAGGGAACAACCACTGAACCACAATAGGGCACTGAACCAAAGCAAAACACGCTCTTTTATAGGGGAGCGTCTTTTGCTTTAAATCCACGCATTCAAAACGTGAGGGGCCATGAAATAATTGGACTTTTCACGGGATTGCCACTGGGACATCGGCGCGCATGCCCTGCGTCATAAGAGGGGGTGTGTGTGTGGAGCAACCGTCGTCCAACATACGCCGGGAGGAGTTGGCAGCTGGAGCACCTCACCGTGGACCTGCTGGATCAAGGTAAGATATCATGACACATAGGACACAAAGTCACACATTTAGACTTGAAGAAAGGAGATATAGTCTAAGGCAAAGGAAAGGTTGTTTTTTTTTACAGTAAGAGCAGCAATAAGGATGTGGAATTATCTGCCTGAAGAGGTGATTTTATCAGAGTCTGTACAGATGGTAGCAAGTGGATGAATACTTGCAAACATGTATTATTCATTATTATCATTTTTAATATGTAGGGTAACATAACAGCACATGCCTAACCGCCAAAGTAACCATCAGTATCCTTAGTGTTCTTGAAAACTGTGATGCAAAATATCCATCCATAAAGTTACCCGTCGCCCCTGAGTCAATATAGGCAGTTGTATGTGCGTAACCAGAACACCAAGCTAGGAAACTGGAACTGCAAGACAGTTGATTATTTGTTTAGGGGACAGGGTAGACACACTTAGAATAGGTCCCCAGACAAACCTCTAGGTGTAGGCATTTTCTGGCCTTATGGGACAAGAGATGGTCACTAGATGGTCTTTCTTACCGAATACATACAAAGACCCTGCAATGTGATTTTCAATTTATTAAAGATGGATGACCCCTAATTGCATAGGCTTATTAACCTTAAAGGGTGCAGGATTAGAGAAGTGTGGTGCTATGAGTACTGGGGGTACAACACACAAAGACAATTGTGTGTTGCCAAAAAGTTGGGGTACAACTTGAACACATTAGGTGAATGAGCACTCGGAAAAGACAACACATTGTTTCTGTTTCTTTCATATGCAAACCCATCACCCCACTGTCACTTTTTTAACATAATTTTGATATCTAGATACTCCTATCTCCTGAATGGGTACTGCTATAGAATCTAATGTAGTGCCTGCCAATGCCAATCTCTAAATATTTAAGCTGGGGTAAAATGCTCATTTATATTCTCACGTCTTTCAACAGTCATTTATTGAGGTGGTGGAAGTGCACAGATGATATTTTATGAATATGGTGGGGCACACTGGGCAACCTACATGCTTTTTTGAATGACATTATTTTATCGTGAACACAGTTAAATTATCAAAAGAACTTTAGGGTACTAGACAGGATGTCGGACACGCAAGGGAGATTTCTATTTTTGAAAGGTACTATCGCCGACAAACTATACACCCTGGTGTCAGTCTATGTGCCAAACACGAACCAAGCGCGATTCCTCCGGGGAACTCTAAACAAGCTCCGGGGTTTCTCGGAAGGGGCGCTTATAGTGGGAGGTGACTTTAACGCCCCACTGGATTCTCGACTAGATGCATCAAACGGGCGCAGTTGTTTACCACTCTCAAGCATACAATCCATACGTAAATCGATGAATGATTTGGGCCTTGTTGATTGCTGGAGAGCACTACACCCGGAAACCAGAGACTATACCCACTTCTCAGCGCCCCATGATCGTTACTCGCGCATCGACTATGTACTGATCCAACAGGAGGGCCTCTCCCGCCTCCGCACAGCTGTCATAGGGCCCGCTACATGGTCAGATCATGGCACGGTACTGGTAGAACTAGAATCACCACTGTTTAAACCGTCACGCTGGACGTGGCGGATGAACGAATCACTCCTCCGTGACCCTGGGGTGGTGGAGGAGATCACGCAGGCACTGGAGAACTATTTCTCGGAGAACGACAATGGAGAGACATCACCAATCACGATCTGGGAAGCACACAAGAGCGTCCTCCGGGGGATACTAATCAGGATAGCCTCCTGCAAACGTAAAGCGACCATGCAGGAAATGTCAGAACTCTACGGGACCATCTCGAATCTGGAACTCCTACACAAAAGGACGCAACAGACGACCACCCACGAGAAGTTGATAGATGCCAGACGCAAGCTGCGGGACCTCATCACGCGCAGACATCACCGCTCCCTACAGTATTCCAAAAGCTTCTTCTATACTCACGCAAACAAAGGGGGTAAATACTTAGCTCGCCTCCTGAAAGGGGATACCCCGCAAACTAGAGTACACAAATTACGCCTAGCTGGAGGGAAGACCTCACAGTTCCCGGAAGACATTGCGAGTGAATTCCAACGATACTATCAACAGCTCTATAACCTCGCCACACAGACGGAACAGGAATCAGGGATATCCAAAGCCGAACTTACACGGACCTTCCTTCAGGACAACGTACGCAGACGGATTAGCCCCGACACGACGACCATACTGGATGAACCAATCGGCATTGACGAAGTTACGGCGGCCTTAAAGAAAACCAAGAGAGGGAAGGCACCAGGCCCAGATGGATTCCCGGCGGGATACTACAAGGACTTCTCCGCAAAACTTGTACCATGGCTGACTAAAGCTGTAAATGCCCTTACGGAGGGGAAACGCTTCGGTGCAGAATCCCTGGCAGCTACGATCACAGTATTACTCAAGCCGGGGAAGGATCCAGAACACTGCGGCAGCTACCGGCCTATCTCATTACTCAACGTCGACACGAAACTTTTAACTAAAGTACTGGCCACTAGGTTACAACGAGTGCTGCCAAGCATTATTCATGCAGATCAGACAGGGTTCATCCCAGGAAGGGAGGCGAGGGACAGCACCCTACGTCTGTTCTCAATCCAAGCCCGAGCACGGAAATCAGGGGACCACCTTCTCATTCTCTCCACGGACGCTGAGAAGGCCTTTGACCGGGTCAACTGGTCATATATGATGGCCACGCTGACCGCTATGGGATTGGGGCAGAAAATGATGTCGTGGATATCAGCTGTCTATGACAAGCCCCAAGCAGCGGTTCGGGTCAATGGTGCCCTAACCGACAGATTTGAAATAAATAATGGGACGAGACAGGGATGCCCCCTGTCCCCTCTCCTATTCGCAATGACCTTGGAGCCCCTTTTGCAGGCGGTAAGACAAAACCCTGACATCCGCGGCTACACGTGGAGAGACTCTGAACATAAGGTAGCTGCTTATGCTGATGACCTCCTATTCTTCATCACTAACCCCGGCATTACAATACCCTGCCTACTCGCCACCATGAAACAATATGGTACGTTGTCAGGATTCAAACTCAACTTATCAAAATGTGAGGCGTTGAATGTGACCTTCCCCTCGAACCAATATACTGACCTGAAAAATAGCTTTCCATTCCAATGGCGTGATGAACGGATGAAATACTTGGGAGTGTGGATCGCCAACAATCCCCAGCATATATACCAACACAACTTTGCCCACTTGCTACAGACAATAACATCAGATCTGGAGAAATGGGCATACCCACACGTCACGTGGCATGGGCGCATAGCGGTTCTCAAAATGAACGTGTTACCAAGAATTCTTTACCTGTTCCAAACCATCCCATTGGCACTACCTAGATCCTTCTTCTCGACCCTGAAGACAGCAATAATACGTTACGTGTGGCGGGGAGAGAGGTCTCGATTGCGATACGAAACGTTATGCCTACCCAGACTCAAGGGAGGATTGGCACTCCCCGATTTCCGGAAATATCACCAAGCCGCCACGATGCAACGCATCCTGGAATGGCATGCCGCTGATAATCCAAAGCAGTGGGTGACTCTTGACAGAGGCGACTCAGGGGCCAAGCTCAAAGCCGAAGTGTGGCAGGAGACACCGGGATACAGAGGGAGAGATGAGATCGGAAACCCAGTGACCCAAACTCTGAAAATTTGGGAGCGGATCCGGGGGCTGTCATTCGTCTCCCCGAGGCCTACCCCACTGACCCCGATCACGCACAATCCCAAAATTGGAGGGGGCCTCCCGGCCGGTGCATGGACATTCATAGAGGAGGGTGAATATATCCCGATCCGGAAGGTACTGGGAGAGGGGCGGGTGAGATCCCTGGATTCCCTACTGGGAGACGGAGCACGGACACCCATGATAACGATGAGATATCTGCAACTAGTACATTTTTATGACTCAGTCCCACATAAGGAACTCCTGCACAGAGAGCTAACCTGGTTCGAGTCACTCTGTCATAGAGGATCTCGACTGGGTAACGCAGTATCCACACTGTATCAACACCTTCTGGTGGGAGGCAACAGGGACAACAACACCTTCAAGCTACGATGGGAAACTCAGTGCCACAAACAGCTTTCAACAACACAATGGGACACAGCCCTCCTCTGGCAGCATAAAAGTTCCTCCAGCTCGTACTACCAAGAAGTCAATTATAAACTGATTTCCATGTGGTACAGGACGCCGGTGGCTCTACATCGGATATTCCCGACAGTTTCTCCTCTGTGCTGGAGATGCCAAGAGGAAAGAGGCACTATCACACATCTGTGGTGGGATTGCCGAGCCATCACACCGTACTGGGCCCAAATTCACACTGAAACTAAATCAATACTTGGTGAAGATATGGAATGGTCGATGGAACTAGCCCTGCTACACATGACCTCAAGCTCCATCTCCAGATACAAAAAGTATATTCTACGCCACTTGCTGAACGCGGCAAAATCCCTTATACCCGCATACTGGAAAAAAACCGAGTCCCCGACGCACACGGAATGGCTCCACAGGGTAGGGGACATACAATCGGCAGAGGCACTCCAAGCTTCCCTCACGGGGCGCTCAACCAGGCACGCGGAGATCTGGGGACCATGGTTCGTGTACCAAGCGAACAGACAGTAAGCGAACAAACAGTAGACGGATTACTCCGGCGCCTCCGGGGGGCGGTGGAGGGGGAAGAAGAGCCACGACCGTTCGCGGCCGGATCTCGTTCCGCTGCTCACCCCCAGGCGAGACGCACCCCAAATACACACAGCTCATGTAAAGACATCTACCACCTGATAACGGCATACTCAATACACCCTGCACACCTTCACACACACGATAGCCTGAACGTCAAGGCAGGCAATCATAATGAACGCCATCACTACATGCACACTGACACATCACTCAAAGCCACAGACATCGCACGCAAACACCTCAAACAGCGACTGGCGCCTAGTGGACATGCCCCACTGCAAGACGGACGGCTCTAACAAAGGACAGGGACAATGCAAACATCGCCCAAACACATTACGCAACGACTAACGGGCACAACATAAGGGATCGTGGCGCGACTCCCCACCCACACAGAGGGAACACTCCTTCAACACTAGATTACCCATGAAAGGCAGGGAATACACACAGACTACGAGAAACGAACTTGGAAGACACCGACGCTTTCAACCCCCAACAACAAGCAAAATAGCACATCATTGACACTTATGATACTCGCTCACAGCAGAAGCCGAAGCGGGAGGGAGGTAACCACCTCATCCCTACCCCCCCTCCCCCCTCTCCCCTCCTACCCTACCCACCCCCTTATACCCGACCCCCTAGAACAACACATTACCCATCACTACCAATAAGGCAGCGATAGACACTCATGGTAACGCTGACTACCACAGACTGAGACATTACACTGGGAGGTTCCGAGGGTAACTTATAACAATTACGAGAGGGGACAAATACCAATTACCAAAGCTGACCTATAGCTCATACCCGCCCCGTACACGTGAAGGAAGGGTACGGAAAGGTGTTCCCTAGATACTAAAGCATACCTCGACACACAACATACAGTCTGTTTATGTACTTAAACTACCTTATTCACTGTAACTAAAAACGTATGGTTTAAGAATTGTACCCAAATGGCTCCTGTCACATGTTATATTTCATTATCATTATTTGCATGGAGGCCTGCGTGCCTCACTTTCCCCTTGTCTTATTTCAATAAAACAGATTTACAAAAAAAAAATTATCAAAAGAAGTGGCAGTCTGTTGGTAGGTAGGATTAAAGACAGGATGGGTTTTTAACCCTTTATTTACAGGGGAAAGAGGGGAGTCACGGAGGAGGGGTGAGGCAGGGGCAGCGGTAGTGCCAGGAATACAGCTTTGTATTCCTGGAACTATAGTATCTCTTTAACTTAGCACAGATCTAAAAGCATTCTATCACTATCCAATAAATTTGTTCGCCTAAAGAAATACTTATCCCTGCTATGGCTGCTATTCTTGCAATAATGTGATTAAAGGACTTAAATTCACACAACCTTTCACTAGGAAAACTATCCTTGTGTAACAGACCGTTTTGCACACAAGAGGTTAAAAACCATTTACGCGATATTCCCCTAGGAAAAGCATACAATCAGCTTACACTCCTGGCAGTCAGCATACAATCCAATTCCCCCAATAATTAGATGACACTTCGTTTTGAGGTCAAGCAGAACTGATTTACTAGGGCTAACTGCCCGGCTTTTATGCAGGTCTCCCACCTGGTGGACACTCCCCTAGGGGACCAGGTGGAAGAAACATATTGGACATTGACCAATCACAGATGTACACATTTCCACAATCCCACAATGCATCACAATCCCTCCCCTCTGCCCTGGAGATAATTGGGAAGTAATCCAATTATCTCCAAGGACAGAAGCAAAACTCCATTACACACATGTAAGTAAAAAGACATAAAATTACATACGGTTACATTTATTACATAAAACATACACATTCTACCTATACCCAGATAGCTTAGATCTGAGCGCACATTACTACCGAATGGCGCTCAGATCACATACGTACAGTTCAAACGCCGTGGAGCCAAAGTCTTTCCCATAGTCTTTCGTTATTAGAATAGGCTCCATGGTATGGCTATCTGGGGTGATGCTGTTCATACGGTCAAATTACCAAATGAACAGTGATTCGGTTCCACTACCGAATGCAGAGGTAAGGAGTCTGGCGGCTCAGCGGTGTTCGCGCAATTAAGTGTCCGTTTTCAGTTCCATAGTTTGGGCGCTGAACACCGCTGGCCGTTCGGGAGCTAAAATGGCCGCTGCCACGTGTTCGGCAAACGAACAAAGGCCACCCAGCGTTCATCAATTAAGCTGCAGTTAACCGCAGCTTCTGGGCAGTCAATTGGCGGCACACTCCAGTTTCCAGGTGGTCCATCGTTCGTTACTTTGTTCGGTAGATTGAAACTACCGAACACCCCGGCAGAAAGGCATGAATAAACCTTTCTGCAGGGAAAATAACAGGTTTTAACTGCAGGGCCATAGTCCAAAGGGAGCAGGCGAGCAACCAGGCTTCTCCAGTGCACAGTGGCGAGGTTGGTTCCACCACACCTTGTTAATGGAACACTACAAACCACCTTAATCACTTCAGCAGATTGTAGTATTAATAGTGCAAGGGGTGTCCTGGTGTCCCCCATTCTTAGTAATCAGTAGTTTAGAACAATTAAAAAGAAAAAAGTCCGTATATTGGGTTAAAATACAATAGATTGGAGTGCAACAATAACCTGTGGGGTCACTCCACCACACATAAAATCAGTGAAATAAAATAGTATAAACGGTGAGAGCACACACAAACAGTAAATTTATTTACCCTTGTATTCAATTAAAATCCTCTAAACATAAAATCAGGAAAAATAATTAATAATAACATCCAGATAAATTGTAAATTGTGAATAATTTAGCAAACTCACATATTACTGAGCCACTTAAAAGCTGACTCAGACTAAGAACGTTGAATGGATAAGAAGTAGTGATAGCTGAAATCCAAATCCAACTGTTTGCTTGTTCCTTCTTTGAAATGCCCAGGATGCAGGTTCTTTTTTTAAAAAGGTTTTATTGCAAGGTAAAAAACAGCAGCAAGAATAGAAAACAGCAATCTTACTCTCCACACACTGACGCGTTTCAGCCGAAGCTTTTTTCAAAGTATAAATCCATTCAGTTCAATCTTGCTTTAAATAGGAGTCCTTTCGCGCCCTTTCCTGCTCAAGTTTTCGGCTCCTCCCCTTCTCTTTCAACGCAACCGGCAACCAGGCATCCTAGCGTCTGTAGTTACCCCCTTCACTTCCGCATTCGTAAGAGTGACGTAGGGGTATGGGAGGGGAATCTCTTGTACCAGAAACTCTTTAGCGTTCGCAAAAGTCCTTCAATAGAACATGCAGCATATATATATATAGCAACAAACAAACATTGCAAATTTCTAACAATCAAGTGGATACACGTGTTCACTCTATGTACATGAGAAATTCAATAATACGTGCAATGTACATATATCCACGATCTAACATTGCAACTTTCTAACAATCAAATTGATACATGTACTCACTCTATATAAAAGAGTTAATAAAAATAAATGAATAAATGTATTCACTCTGTATAAATGAATTAATTATAAAAACATTATGCTCTGCTAAAAGACAGGGTAGAGAAAAAGGAGATATATTAGAATAAATTCATAACATAAATATAGATGAACATACTTCCAAATTCATTGTCATTTCTAATAATTTGAGAGAAGTGTATACATGTATAATTAATTTAATTAATAAAACTTAGTATTAAGACAAATTGTGCAAATTCACAACCTAATGACATATGAATAAATAAATCAAATGTTTAGATAGTCATTTAGAATCGATAAAAATTAATAAACTTTTTAATTACCTAAAAGTCATTTAGAATTAGCATTAATAGACTAATTAAAAAATCTTGTTTAAATATAGGTGTTTTTGTCTCAAAATCGGCATTAAGCCCCCTTGGTACGAGTGTATCCAAATCGAAGATCCATCTCATTTCAGTCTTACTGAGGAGATGGGGACTGCCTTTCCATATAATAAAAATATTGTCTATGTAACAAATTTTGAAAGAGTTCAAATGGGAGGATTCTTTTTTAATGGCTAATTGCGATGTCAGTAGCCTCTACACGAATATAAAACATAGTATAGGATGTGAGGCTACTAGACATTTTTTAATCAAGTTTGAAAATCTTTTAGAATCACAGACAGATTTTATTATGGAGGGGATCAATATGATCCTTAACAACAATTTTTTCTGGTTTGAAGATCATTTTTATCTTCAAACAAAAGGGACAGCCATGAGGACCAGATTTGCCCCAAGTTACGCTAATTTATTTATGTCCTACTGGGAGGAAACTAATGTCTTCTCCAGATTGGACATTGGGGCAAGTCTGGTCCTCTACAAACGTTACATAGACAATATTTTTATTATATGGAAAGGCAGTCCCCAATCTTTGTTGGATTTTATTGATTCTCTTAATAATAACTCATGGAATATTAAATTGACACATGTCATTAGCCCCTCCAATATTAATTTTTTAGACCTTGAGATTTTTATAGAAAATGGCCTGATTAAAAGTCGAACTCATTTTAAAACAGTGGATGTTAATAGTTTTATCGATTATAGTAGTTGGCATTTTAAACCATGGTTATCCAACACACCAAAAGGACAGTTTTTAAGAATAAAAAGAAATTGTACGGAAGAGCAAGATTTTGTGGACCAAGCTAAGATTTTAGAAAAACAATTTTTAGAGAAAGGGTATGACAAAAGATTTTTAGAAAAAACATATAAACAGGTGAAAGAAGATAATAGGTTGTAATTGTTAGAATACATGGAGAAAAAGCCTGATAAAGAAGCACAAGAAATTATCCCCTTAATCTTTCATTTTAACTCTAATAACCAAGATTTGCGTAAGATTATTAATAAAAATTGGCATGTTTTAAAAATAGATGACGAAATACGTCCATTTATAGGAGATAAACCAAAACTTATCTTTAGGGGAGCTAGTAATTTTAAACAAATTTTAACTAATAGTTTTTTAGATAAGGATAAGAAAGGATGCCCGAATAATTTTCTAAAGGAACAAAAGGGATTCTTTTATTGTGGAAGTTGTAAAGGATGCAAAACAAGAAGTAGGAGTAATAGAAGAATTTTTAAATTTATTTCTTTTAGTTCAAAAAAGGAATATGAAATTAAACATTTTATTACATGTAATACTGTAGATGTTGTATATATGCTTGTATGCCCCTGTGGACTACAATATATACGGAAAACATCACGTCCCTTTAAAATACGAATCAGGGAGCATATATACAACATCCAAAGAAAATTCCCGAATCATAGTGTGTCCAAACACTTCATGGAGTATCATAACGGGGATCCCAGCTGTTTAGATTTTTTTTGCAATTGATCATATAAAA